GAGTGCTGATCGTTTCACCACGGAGGAAAGAACTTCACTAATTGCAGTACCCATAAGGAGCTGTACAAATGCTGCAGTTTTTGCGTGGCTGTGTATTTAGTTGAAAGCCCAGTGGCGATCTGCTCATCTCTCATCGAAATAATATGCTACAAAGGGGCGGACTGGCCATCTGTGTGTTGAACTTTCCTGTCGGCTCCCAGACCGTAGTCGAGGAGGGCAGAAGCAACAAGCTTCAGGTTCAATAACCCACTTTAGCTTAAATGACTGGAGAGAGGCGAGCTCTTCTTGGGAGGCCGTTGCATTTATTTAGCTGTTCTTCTGTTTCACAAAATACATCACGGACCTCTGTTTTTCTGCTTTCTCGTTTCACTTCCAGAAACATACACACGTTCTCTCACTGTCGCTCTACCATCCACAAGCCACACCCCTCTCTCTCTCTCTTAAAGGGACAGCGATCTCATCTCACTCTGCATGACCCTAATATCATAACATGTGTGCTCTGGAGAATCACAGAACGGACGATCGTCCTTATTATGCCGTTTAAACCAATTATTTAAATGTGTTTGTTAAATTCGGCATCATATAAGTTGCGCTGACAGGTCCACACACTGCTTCCCCGAGCGTCAAGCTCCTCAACCCCTCCCCCCGTTGATAATTCTCGATCGTTGGCACGCTGATAACAATTTTTTTTTTAAATGGCACTTCATATCAAAAAGGTTGCCGACCCCTGATGTAAAGGGATAGATTGGATATTTTCTAAGTGAGAGTTATATGAGGGACTTAGTAGACGGGGGGCAAGCAGCAAAAAAATATTCAAGCCACCTAAAAACACCAATATCAGTTTAAGCTATATTTTTACCACGACCAAACGCCATTTTATGGGGATCCAAAGCTGTTATCTATGTTTTTTTTTTAAAGAGCCTCCAGATCCCATTAACAAAAACAGTTGTTCTTCCTCAAACACATGTGAGAGGTGGGTAAGTTTGTTTGTGTTATTGTCAATGTGTTTTAGAGGGTTAGTTATGATCCACCAGTCACACAGTCATTTAACCAGTAAATCACATGTTCTGCTAGGAAAATTACATTTTTCCAATCGATTCTGGTGGCTTTGAAGAGTGCATAGATAACGGATTCAGTTCCTCATTTGAAGAGCTGTCTGAATACATTGTGAAGCGGTGAAAATATTCTTTAAATAGCGAACTCAAACAGCTATTGATTTATTTTTGGGTATAGCTTAAATACATTGTGCTGCTGCCCCTGGCACATCATTGCATTACTTAGCTTTGTTGCAGTAAATATTGTCAGTTTCTCCAAATACGAAGTGCATCTCCACCATCTACTTTACAGAACACTATGGATAGTGACTTTATACAATATATACTATGCCTTTAAAACCTTTACCAAAACAAGCAGCAAGGTTAGCCATCATATTTCAAAATCTATACGTTCATAGCTTTAAAAGTTATAAATAAATAAGTAACTAAGGCATCATTGAGCACAGGAAAGGATATTAAAAGTGGAAACTTGGCATGAAATTGCCTGGTGGAGCTGAATAAGAGACACAAATCTGCCTACTGGGCCTCCTGAACATCTGCTATTATTTTTCATCACAACAACCCCGGTGAGAATAGAGACATCAGTATTCAGGGGAAAGTGCAGGTGACAGTCTGCATGCAAGATGTTTCCACTGTACAACAACAGCAGGTGACTACAGAGACGAGGAGGAAACGCAAAGGTGAAGGAGGAAGAGACGATTCAAGGGCAAATCCTCCAAAGCCGCTTGAGTGTTCAGAGGAGATTCCTTAAGGAAAATTGCTGTTGATATTTTAAGAATTGATTTGAGCGTCTCCCATTGTTTCCAGTGTCAGGAAAAGGGAAAAAAACGTAGTAAGCAACTCCAGGCCTTTGGAACAAAAAGAACAACTTCTGGGAGCAGCATTAAAACGTTGAGTCCAAAATTAAAGTGTGGTTATCCACCAGGCCTGTGAAAAAGAACACACTTCCAAATGTTTAAGTATAGCCCTATTCAGCCTTATATAGTTTTCTGTGCATGTAAATGGTCTGCAAAGGCTAAAATCCCAGTGTTCCCTCCAGAGGGATTAGGTACATCTCAAAAAGGGCTTCAACAAGTGCTCTACATATAAAATGCTTTACGTGTTATAATTATTGTAAAAAAAACTATACAAATGTGGCTAATAATAATAATACAGTGATATGAGTAAATTATAGTTAAAAATAATTGGAGTTATAATGCATCAAAGAATATGGGCATGGCGGAAAGTGTTACTGGTTTTGTTTGTGGTGCTCACACTAATGGATACTGAGGAAAATAGTTTCTCAGAAATAGTTTGTTCCGATAAATTCCAGAGAAGACATACAGGAAGTCCCATGCATCCCTTTAGAGAAAAATGAGAGCAGAAACCACACATTACTAAACCGTGTAAAACCATTAAAGGGGTAGAGCCACATTTGAGATAACTTCAAACACACTGGAAGGTCTAAACAAGGAACAGTACTGATTTAGCAAATGAGCTAACAATTAAATACAGTTGTTTTTTTTACCAGTACGGTCTCAGAAGTGTATACAAGTTCATTCATGTTGCTGCCAGAGGGACAGCAGTACGAGGAAGGAGGCAGGAGATTATAGAGAAGGATCAACGAAGAAAGGGAAGTACATACTGGGTTCTTATGAACACAGTCAGATACACATTACTTGAACCCCTTAAGTCTGAGATTCAAACCTAGCAACATTAAACCAATACATCTTACTGATTTGACTGGTTTTGACAAAGTCTGACAAAAAAACAGAACTCCTCAGATAAAATCAATTGGTCAAGTATTAGATCACTCACTAGGTTTGTAGCTCTATATTTATATCAAGTTACATTAAAAAAAAAAAATACTGATATGTTAATAATATGCAACAAAAAAAAGAATACTGGTATGTTATATTAAATTAAGAACTTGTAAAAAATCCAGGGTTTCTAAAAGAAGTTTAGTTTATTTTCTTTTTTCCCTCCCTCAACTGCCCCACACACAATTTTTTTAAACAAATGTGCCATAAAAAGGGAAAAAAATAAATATAAAAAATGCACAATATTCAAAAGATCAGGATGGATTTCATTGAATGATTTGAGTTTTAAGTTGGAGTACTATTTTTAAAGTTGTATGCATAAATGTGCTGGTTATTATATGTACATTTGTTAATAAAGAACATTTTATTACTTTAAGTTCAATTTGTTTCAAGGACTTTCTTTGTAGATTTAAGGACATTTCTTACATGGATTTATTATTTATTTCACTGGCATAAGGGATAATGAGGCTCTCAGAAAGAAAAAGTCCAACTGAATATAAAAGCAAACAGCAAGTTTATGAATGACTATAAAAGGTCCTGCATTTTTTTTAAGCAAAGTGAGACTTTTGAGAAAATCGGGTGTCAACTGTTTTAAATAGCCGTGATTCAGTTAGCCTGTCTCAGTGTGAAACCCTCTGATACCGTATAGATAAATAAAGGCTATGCAAATTACAAATGTTGGATTTAAGGTTTAATTAAATGTTACTTTCTCCACCCCGTTTTAGCTTTTATAGGATATTTTTTCAGCAATAAGTTCATTCATTATATTATTTCCCTTAGTATTGTAAAATAAAATTGTCATTGCGGTTTTCTAACTGCAAATTAAACCAACATTGACGGTTTCTCCACTGCTCCCCATCAAAACTAATTTAAGAACATTTTTAAGTACTTTAAGAATGACTGGCAGGTAAAACAATGCAAGTCTGTCATATTTTCGACATGAAAGGCATGTAAAGAGGAGGAAATGTAGATGATGGGAAAAATAGGAATCCTAATGTACAGTCTGTGCATGAGAATCAGAGACCGAGGGAGAGAAAAGGGCAGAGTCATCGATTAAACAAGAGCAAACCTGTCCAGCGAGGGCAAACAATGTGCAGCCAACGTCAATACTTTCAAACTCCTTCCTGTGAAAGGCCTCTGTAGAAACGTGCATGGCATTCTGCTCTGCTAAATGTCAAAACATTTAATCTTATTTGTGTAAGCGAAAGGCAGAAGCAGCGAAGAGCTCAGCTTGCTTTGTGGTTATTGATTAGTTCTCTTTCAGATTTGATATTGTGATGAAGAGAAACAAAACGTTACATCCTTTCCGTTTCTACAACAGGGATCACACTGGTGCCAAGTTGAGTCTCCATTTTCCATGTTTTAGATTGCAAAGATACTTTTTGTTGCCATTGTTAAACTTGATCAGCTCTTGTATAATCTCCAAGGAGGAAGGAAGGAAGGAAAAAGGGTTTAAATGAAGGAAACTTGGTCTTTACAGGCGACGGCGAGGGCGGGGAGTTCCGTGGCGTTGGAGAAGGCAGCTACGATGGAGGCGAAGACCACATTGGGGCTCAGGGAGGCGTTGACGGCCGCGTGCAGGCCCCGGGCGCTGTAGTACTTCACCAGAGGGACGGTCTGCCGGTGGTAGGAGTCCAGACGGGAATGCAGCGTCTTCTCGTTGTCGTCACTGCGGCGGATGAGTGGCTCGCCTGTCAGCTGAGTGCAAACAAGAGCAGAGGAAACCCATGAGAAGAAGGACAGAGACAGAGGACGGGCTGAGATTGTGAAACCTGTACAATCAGATCAATGCTCCTCAGTTTTAAACCTAAAGCCACATACACACTGCATGCTACAGCTCAACTCATTTTGAGCTGCGTTTACGGAGGTCGACAGGTATAAACGCACTTCAGCAGCCCAAAACACTTCCATTAAGGGAAAAGCACTGCAGCTTCAGAAATTAAGCAAATGAAAAAAAAAAAAAAATGTGCCAAACCACATCAAAATGACACATCTTCACCAACTTGACAACATGAGTAGCATTTAGAAAGCTTTATAATCCCTGAAAGTCAATAAGCGCTCCGGTCCCAGCTGTGGGCATCACTTTTTGTGTGTCCCCTGGTTTCCGTTGAGTTTTGAACTTCTTGCAGCGTTTTTTTTTTTAAGGAAACACTGCACATGTTGAGTGAAGTTGCTGAATGTTTTCTAAATGTGGTGCATATGTTGTAAGTTGGTGAAGCGGTTTCTTCATTTGCATGTATTTTGGCACATTTGTGTTTTTATAATTCCATAGTTTTTTAAGTGCAGGTGTTTTGGGCCGTTGAAGCGCGTTTGCAATTGTCGGCAGCCATAGAGTTTCTATATAGCTAGTACGATCGACTATTGGAAAATACCATGTTTGTTTGGAATCCAAACAAAGGAACGTCTGCACTTAATAATTGTAAGATGAGGTGTTTGAGCGAGATGTACTGTAATACCCTATTGAGGATTCTCTCTGAGAAACGTTTTTCATTTTCAGCAAAACAAAAGAATGCGTTTATTTGCAGTGTTTTTACACATTTGTACATTCTTTAATGAAGGAAATAGACTACATGTCATCTTTTTTAACTATTGAGTCTCTTCATGTTAATCAATTCCTTTGTGGTGATTCAAGATTCAACCTGTTAAGCCCCAAGTCTGTTTTTCAGGTCTCAGGCTCAAAAATGACATTCCCAGAACAAATGACCATAACTTCACTTCTAAAAAGGGGTAAATGAATAATGTTTTTTCTCAAAGCAATGATAAACCTGTGATTTGGATTTAGAAAAGTCAGAATCAATATAGAATTTTTTTATTTTAAATTAAATTCTGATTGAACATAGTAACATTTTTTTAATGATAAGCCGCGTTCACACCGGAGTACTTTTCCCACAATAGTTCACCAGAACTACGATATATTTGCGTTCACACCAAAAAGCCCCAGGAACCTTTTTACCCCCTTTTCAGTCCCTGCTAGAGAGCAGGGACTTTCGTGGGAGAAAAAGGTTCCTATGTCTGATTGGCTGGGAGGATTGCAAACCACGCCCCGTAAAACTCCCAAAACGTTTTGTGAAGCCGCCATTTTATTATCCTCGCATTGCATTATTAGCACTAGCATTAGCCCAGCGCAGAAACACAGAGAGACTAACTTATGGAAACACAAAATAAAACATGGGAGCGGCGTTCTGGCGATTTACTCGGTTGGATAATCCAAAAATCAGCTCCTAACGTCTAACCCTATCGTCTATTCCTTGACCTCTGAGTGAAACGTCACGGGGTTAAGGGATAGTGGATAGGAGAATTCAAAAGAACATAGGAGAAGAGACTGCGGTACTTTAGAGAATCCGACTGCACTTTCACTATCCGACGTATGAAAACTATGGAAACTACAGTTTTCTATACAGCTGACTACAACATGGATGTTTAATAAGAACGAGGGACTACTGTAAACTCATCTAGAGACTCTGCACCGTGCTCTGATGCTGTTGCTTTATGCTTTATGAACGTGGACAACAGAGAAACATATTCTTCATGACCAAAGTTGGAATTGAAATAAAAAGGAAAGTGAAACTTATGCTCGTCACCCTCTCCCTCCGGTCCACATTAATACAAATGATCCCAATAT